TTCCCCGCTCATCGTTGGTAGCAGGAGCGGCCGGGGAAGTGAGGGGAAGCGGGGGAAGAAAGTGGGATTAGTGGGAAGGCGGGGAAGGCTCCACTTTTAGCACTGTACTCTGTGAAAGACCCATCGCCCTCCTCTCTCCCTCTCCCCTGGATCCTCCCACAGAGACATATACACAGAGGCGGACTCCATTTATGGTCGCGGCAAAACCCTGTATCAAAAAAAAGTACATAAATACAGGTGAATCTGTTAAAAAAGTTATCGAAATTATACACTAAACATGTGGAAGCCAATTCGTGCTTTTTTCGAAAAAGTTAACAGTGTTGCTTACCGGCTTCTTCGAGTGCTTCATAAATTATATAGTTACTTAAAATCGCAGTGCTTGCAGGCTTCCACAATACAGTATTACCCTGAAATTGCATATTTAAATACAAGTTAAAAAGAAACAATAAACTTTCTAGAATCACAAAAAATGGTTCTTGAATTTTTAAAAAAACTGATTTAGTATAAACGAGAATATGAAATTGGTGATTAATGTCTTCCAGTAGCTACCTGATTTAAATACAAATCCACACTTTTAGTTATCAATTAAATAAAAATTTAAAGAAAATTTTAACAATTTCTGTAAATTTTTTACTTTCTGTACACATTTTACAATTTTTTATAATAAATTAAATAACAGGAAATTAATTGGCAGCTACATTAACAACGAGTAAAAAGGGAACAGAAAAGAAGGCAAGAGATGAGAATTACAAAATTTGTGGAATTAATAGAATTATTTTAATGATATGAAATGTTTCGGTCCATTAAGTTGCAACATTTTTTACTATTAACATTTTAAACCAAATTAACAATTTAAGACAAACTTTATCAATTTTTATGCTTTTTTACCGCAACATCAAACCAATACTACCCAAATAAATAGTGTGGAGAAAGCCAAATTACTGGGATGTTTGCGTAGACTAAGGCAGCAATGCCAGGCCTCAAAATCCTAAAGCGAATTCCCCCCGATGGTACCTATTGCGCGCTTGATGTATATGCAAAAACTCTTTCGGTAGCCTTCTGCTTCAAAACATTACTATGCTGTAAAATTTGCTCCAACCGACAGTCCTTCGATGTGAAAGCCCTGGCTATATCGTAAAATATTCATGGCAAAAAAAGACAATTACAACGTATTAACACAGAACTGCCAAAATTACAACAGCAAGTTACCATTAATGCGGGTGCTGTTGGCAGATTACCACCAATTGCTGTGAAATTGAATGGAGCAACAGCGGCTACAAATCCTTCAAGTCCTCTAAAACATGAAAATCAATGCCTCTCATCTTAAGCAAATAATCGCTGGGGAAAGAGCTTCCACGACTAATCGTAGAATTACGGCGACTGCAGCATCCAGGTTAACCTTGGAAGCCAAAACAGCAAAGACGCGGCAGATTACGGGGTGAAAGAACAGTATAAGAGAAGATAAGAGTGAGATAAGACCTTCCGACGTTAAACTAACAAATGGGACCAGAAAAGATGCAAAAAAAAATCCGTAAAAGCTAAAGGTTTCGGTCGAATGAGGAGCATGAAGGGGAAAAAAACAAAAGATGAAACAAAAAAAAAACAAAAGCTAAGTATGTCCTAAATTCTGTCTGTACTTTTATCCTGGCGCAAATTTATTGAAGAGCTCGAATTCCTCCTTATTTTACTCTCTGTAAAAAAAGGGAGGGAGGGAGGGGGAAGGGGGGAGGGAGGAGGAGGAGGGCTCAAAAGCAACCATCCACTAAGATATAATAGAAAATATATATGCAAGAAAAAGAAGCTGGGCCGGTCACGTAGCAAGGATGACTGACAACAGATATGGACGAAACGCGTTATCGATTGATGCCCACGACTAAATTCTAAGTGTTTCTAGGGCAGGAGGGACAGAATTTCATAATGAATGGTGGTAAGGAGGAAAGCTGTCTAGTTAATGTGGTACAAACCTTTTGACAAGCTGAACTGTCATGTATCACGAATATGCGGGGTGGCCTGCCTCCGTGTTTCATCCCTTAGCTGTAAACACAGACAGTGCGAGGTGTGGTTAGGAGTGGGAATCATCAGTACATCCTCCTAAGCACCATGTCAAAACATAAATTACGTGCAAAAGTCAAAACCATTCCGTATGCACTCTCTATAAAAGGCGGGAGGCACTCGTAAGATGGCCCCAGTCGTAGCAAATGCCAAAAGAAACCAATCGCTGGCAACGCTGTCGATGGCCACTCTTTTGAAGATTGCTTACAAGCAAGCTGATGGCAGAATTTATCTGTAACAAATGAAAATTCACAAACCTGTAATGCATGGTGTTTGTGACATTTTTCGGTGAAATTGGTTGATATTTTTCGAGATTCAGTGCAAACATTGAATTGAAACGGAAGAAATCGATGAGTTCACAGGCTGAATCGATCTCCGCCTGTACAATATTCTTCCCCTGACCTAACATTGTTGCTGCATTTAGTCGCATACGATATTTTCCAGCACAAAGATCTGCTGCATGCAACAAAACATCGGCTCTTTCCCTGAAATTTAAAAAAAAAATCTCTCTTTTGGCTAACCTAAAACTATATAAAGCAACGATATTTTGTCTTCGCTTTATATTAAACTCGGGGCTGGAATGCGCCTTGTTTGGCGCCGGTGGGATCGTGCGTTTTTGCACCAGATTTGAAGTATTCAGGTCGTTAAATGCATGAATGATTGCTGCTTTACACCTGCTTTTTGCGCCCACTAACGTAAATCATCGTAAATTTTGCATAAAAGGAATGAGTAATTTTCGTTTAATGGTCATTCTTTGAAAATGACCTAGCGTTCAGTGAGCAATTTTCTTACCTAAAATTTTAAGTGCTCTTAAATGACGGAGGCTGAATTTGAAATATTTAAGATATGA